CTAATATTTGAACTTTCCATAGGAGGAAAACACATGTAGGAGTGTGCTGAGTCCAATTTGCGTGCATATTTTCTGAATTAACATACAATATTTTTCTCAGGATGCTGACTTGTTTCCACAGAGACAGGAAATCTGCTGTCCCGATGCACCGATCCACTTGTTTCACTTCTTATATCAATACAGATATCTGAGGCTCAGTATCGGCAAACATCGATCCAACACCGAAAAAATAGTGCTGAATTTACCTAAAATGTTTCTTTTTTTCAAGCACAGACATAAATGTTCTCAATTACAAATTTATTTGATAACTCTGCACACCCGAAATACATCAACAGCTTCAGAAGCTTGGTCAGACATGCAAAAACGAGAAAACTTCAAGTTGTTCAGTCAGTGCAATTACGAGTAAAATAAATAATAAATTGAAAGTGTAAAAATAAACTTCAACTAATCTTCTTTCAAATGATTCGGAAAGTGCAATTAGGAATTATAAATATAATGTAAAGTAAGTCATAAAGGATGACTGCTCAGAGCACAGCAAATAGAATAGACTGAATAGATCTGATCTTATGGATTGGAAACATTGTCACAGACACCTGATCTAGAATTGTTTTCTGCATTGGGCCGATAAAGACAGCAGTACAGGATCGGTGCATCTCTGGTCCTGTTCTAACTGCAAGTACCTTGATGCCTAACAAAGCAGTGCAAGGCAAAACAGATAACAGCAAATGTAGAAAATCAAACTCCGGAAACAAACGTCTCCCATTTTGGAACCCGGTGTCTAAACATTCACAAGAGACTGTTGGTGAGTTTGTCTCTGTACTCTCTGTCAAAATACATCCTGTACTGTCCTGAAGTTACTTTGAAGGAGCTGACTGGGCAGATCAGCTGATTACGTTTATCAGCATGATTTCCAAAGAGCCACAAGATCTGAATTAGAACAGGGAATGTGCAAACTCCAGTGTTGTTGAGAAATCTGAAAGTTCACGTCCCTCTTGGCAGACCTGGAGCACACTGACGAGTTGAAGATGATGAGATGGATTGATGGAACCAGCAGCAATCTCAGTTAAGACCAGTTGACTCTTATTAAGCAAAATAAATATCTCCTGATCAATCTAAGACACTTTCACACTTCTGGTAGATAATATTTATATGAACCATATAACTATATTTCCTAACAGTAAACTATGAATATATTATAGAAAATTCTACTAATCTATTTTAAAAGTAAATATTTTTCCAGTCATGTTGACCACTCAAGTGAATATGAAATGCTGTTGTATCCTGTGAAAGACAAATCTATTTCACACATGGAAAGTCAGGCATGACAAAAGCATGAAATAGTGAGAAATAGTGTTGTGCAATGGTTACATACATAACAGTAAATTAGTTTATTTATAGCAACAAAATGGAAATACAAGGGGGCAAAATGTAAATCCTAAGATATTCAATGGGGTAATAATTAGTAAATGGGCTTTTTACGGCACTATTGCATAATTTTGATGCAACATCAAGGGTAAAAGTTGGTTCTGGTTTGGGTCCTAGACATTTTGCCCCTTTGCTATTTTATAATTGTTGCTTTTCATTGTAGATTTCCTCAGGTTTGGATGGGAACGGTCTTTGTCTTCGTCTTGTATATGCTGCCGTCTCTGTCAACTGCTATTTTTATAATCTACTTCATGTCTACTTTTAGGAAATATACTTATTTAACTCTGGCAGGGCCGGTCCAAGCCTCCATGGGCCCCTAAGTGAAATCTGGTTGGGGGGCCCGCTAACAATGTGGACTGGCAGCAGTCTGATCATTAGACCATTCCAACACCTTGTATAAACTTATTGCATCTCTGACAGTGCTGTTTACATTATATACATGTAGAATAAGTTACATTTATTGGCCAACTGATTTATCCACCAGTTGATTTCTGAGCACCGATTTCCTTAATTTTGGGGGATCGTTATCTGCTGATACTTACACATGAAGCCCATTTTATCCCCTAATCTGATCTTCATCAGCAATGGTTTAAAAATCAGCCTCTGTCCTCTTCTGCTCTGCAGTTCTGTCAGTCAGCCGTTCTGTCAGTCAGAACGGCCCACCTAACAACATTTTGCCAGGTCAGGTCTGCACGTTTAGCAATATTCACCCCACTGTTGCCAACTCACCAACTTTTTTGCTATATTTAGCGACATTTCAGACAAAAAATAAAAAATTCATAACTAATATCAAAATCAGCAGGTCAGACTTTTTAAAAATTGGTAACCAGGGATCAGCCAGAAAACTGCAATCGGTGCAGCTCTAAACACATATTAGTGACATTCTTTGATTAAATAAATTTCTCTTAAGTGTTACTCCAATAGTTAAAATGTAATTTATACCAGGTGAGTCTTTCTCCCCTGGAATGTGGACCGGTACTGGACTAATTCTGAGCCTTCAAATGATTTTAACAGAAGTTTCATAACATTTAAGTTGATGTAAAAATAATGTTTGTTTTAGCCACATTAAGTGATTATGCTCCGCAGCAAACAACATATTCCCAATTACAGCTTAGAGCAACTCGTCGATTTAGCAGCCATGTTGCCTGATGTAACAACATTTTGCTAGACAATGTCAAACATTGAGAAGTTTTAATTATTATCAAAAGTTACCAAATAAAACAAAGCTTTATCTTGGCTCTTTTCAATTCTTTCTCTTTTTGTCTTCCTCCCTGAAAGATAAGTTCTTTTTTGAGACACTGTTTTGTTCACTTGTCTTCTGACCGGCGCTTTGGACGTTTGGATGCTTTGCACGGTTGCTCATGTTACCGGCAAAGCGTGCGGTACCTTCCGCGGCCACCAGGAGGCCCCCAGACCAATTTATTTGTTTTCTTTTTATCAATAAAATAATGATTTCTACATACATTATCAAATATACATTGCGGTAAAAACAAATCAATTAATAGTGCAATTGTGTGTTTTTCATATTATAATGACAGAAATTATAAAAAAATACATAAATAATCAGCTCCACTGAGGGGGCCCCTTAGTGGCCCTGGGCCCCCGAAGTGGCTGCTTGGTTTGATTATGCTTTGGGCCGGCCCTGGACTCTGGTAAATGATATCTACCAGAAAGAGGTTGAATATTCATTGTCTATGCTCACTTACACTCGCAGGCTGGTGCCTATGTCCAGCAGTCATTGGGTGAGAGGCGGGGCTTGTCCAGTCCATCACAGGGCAACAAAGAGACTCATAAGGCAAACTATTATGCAGTCACAATCCCAATAACACCCGTCTACATCCAGGGAGTGAACGATGAGCTTCTTAGAAGTACCCGAGAGTTCATCTGAACAACAAACCCAACTGGACTCACACCGCCGATGCTCTTTGGGAAGCGTCAGAGCAGACTGAAGAGACAGAAGCTGGCTAAAATAACATCACTATTGGACAATGTCTCCACCTCATTGTTGGAGACACTGCAGAAAGCAGAAAGCTGGAGAGCTACTTCAGTGTCAGACTGCTGCGTCCTCAGTTCATAAAGGAGCGTTGCCACAGATCCTTCCTCCCTGCTGTTGTTAGGCTCTAGAACCGTCACAGCTCCCAACACCAGATGTTTACATCCCTGCTGCTATATAAATATATTGTATGTTCTGTCATTTTAAAAATGATCCTACTCATGAGTTCTACATTTCTTTGGTTCAAGTACACTACTTTGAATAATTTTACAGTATTTCATGTTGTATTTCACCTTACTGTACAGTATGTTATTCTTAATTCAATGCATTTTTATTTTTATCTTTGCGTGAAGCTACATGCTTTGATAATCTATCACTTTGCTGCTGCTGTTACACCAGAATTTCCCCCATGGGACTTGATGAGGATATTTCTACTCCATTCATACATAGGGTCAATTTTGAGAGACAATTAATGTCTTTGGACTGTGGGAAGAACCAGGAGTGCCCGGAGAGAATCCAATCATAAATGGGATAACAGAAAGAGCCTCGGCTGGGATTTGAACCCTGGACCTTCTTGCTGCAGGGAAGTTGTGTGGCACTGTGGGAAAAGAAACAAACACGCTAAATGAATGAGGTTTGAATGTGTTTATTACTATTTAAAAAAAACACAAGGGCAAGGGGTTCCCACTAATTTCCCATTAATTTTTAAAATTATAATTCTCCCTGGATAAACTAAAATAGTAATTCCCCAAATACCAGCCTGGTTCTGCCTTTGGCCCCAAACGACGGTGGTCCGGCTCTGGATGTTTCCTGATATCCGGAACCTGCGGCCCGGATCAGAACATGCTGCTGTTCAGTTGTTCAACCTGTCGTTCATGGTCACTGCAGCCACACACACTTATTCCTTCCCGTTTCTTTTGCTCTTCCTAATGTGTACACGCTCTGGGGACACGAATGGGTCCAGGTAATCTCTCTCTCTCTCTCTCTCTCTCTCTCTCTCTCTCTCTCTCTCTCTCTCTCTCTCTCTCTATCTCTCTCTCTCACACACGCACGCACACACACATTCAGGAAACACTCCATGCAGCATAGTGCCCTGCTCTACATGCACCTTCCTCTTTCTCTCTGCATATTGCTTTCATTATACATCTCTCTGCCTCACACACCCGCACACACGCGCACTCACACACACTCCTCCCTCCCTCGCAGTGCCTCTTGTCCGGCCCCCCTGATCTCTGTGTCCATTGGCTTGCGCTGGGTCTATTTCTCATGTCCAGCCCCCTCCTCTCCTTCACTCTCTCTCCCTCTCTCTCTAATGATCGTCCAATGGTGTTGTCTGTCCCTCCTCCCACTCCCCACTCCCACTCGGGTGCCTCGGCCCGGCCCATGTTTTTGTATGTCGGGTGTCCGTCCGCCGCCTGACGTTCAAGTTCGCCGGGAACGTCACGTCCGTGCACTTGAACTTGCACAGCTAAGAGGGGAGGGGTGGTGTGTGTGTGTGTGTCTGTGTGTGTGCGTGCGTGCGTGTATGTGTGTGTGTGTGTTGGGGGGTGTGGGGTGGGGGACGGAGGGGGGGTTTTGCCATTTTTTTCAATCTCTCTCCCCTTCTCTCTCTCCATCCACCTCACTCTCTCTCTCTTTTTTCTCTGCTCTCCTTTCTCAAAAAAGCCATGACGGCGATCCCGCGATCCATCCTCGCCTCCGCGCTATCTTTCTATTATTTCTAATTTATTTTATTATTATTTTGGTTTTTTTTTTTTACTCCGTCTCCTCCACCTCCTCTGGTAGATGTCCAAGGCGTTGGATGAAGATCTTTTCTCTCTTTTTTCCCCTCCTCCTCTCCTCTGTCACCCCGGCATCTCCCCGATGTGATCCGCGCTGAACGCAGCCGCTGAACAGCCACCATGTCTCGCCGCAAGCAAGGCAAACCGCAGCACCTGAGCAAACGGGATTTCTCGCGTAAGTAAAAAAAGCCTCTAAAGAGAGAGTTAGAAACACTTTTGTTTCAGTTCACCCATCTGGGAGCAAAAGGGGGACAGAAAAAGGGGGTGTTTGTGGACACCGGACACTCTAACTGGACTTTGCGGCGCGGCGACAAAGTCAGACACCTTCCGTGCGTAAAAAGCTGCCTTCCCGAAACATGGAAAGGAAGCGTGGGAGAATAAAAAAAAGTTTTGATGGACCGGTTTTAAGTTGTGCAGCTTTGACAGGCTGGTAAACGCAGCCGCTTTGGATCTCGACGGTCGCTCCGGTCAGAGCGCGTCCTCTCCGCGGAGCTCTGTGGACAGATCACCATCTAGAATTTCGCTTCGTGCAGTGCGAGCTCGTCTCCTCTGTTTTGGAATAAAAAAAGAAGGTGAAACTGCAAAGTGGACGTTTTTGGATCGAGCGGAAAACTCTTTATCTAAGCCAATCAAAATGATCGATTTAGTGATGTATGTTTAGCTCTTTTTAACATTGAATGCTGCTTAGTTCGTAAAGTTGAAGCCACGCTCTGTGTTTCTGAACTAGAAATGTTATCTACAAAGAAATTTAAACATGAACAACTTGACGGAATAACTTCACTTTAGAGCTCCAGGTAAATTAATAAAAACTGAATTATCAGATGTTTTGGTGTTTGAGAGAAAAACAATTTAATCCAACAGCGTTTGACTTTTACGCACAACGTCCATTTCTAAAAAAACAACAAAAAACATAAAAATCTCCCCTTCATCTTATTTATGTAGCCTATTTAGATTTAATTTATTTGCGCGCAAAAGCTTTATCTCTCAACAGAGAGCCGGAGCGGGTGTTTTGGAAAACTGCGAGGCAGTTGGCAAAGTGTGCGCCTCTCTTTGCGGACCACGCTCTCGAAAAAAAGCGGTTATTTAGCGCATCTTTACGTGTCGCTGCTTAATTAACATTAGAGTTCGCTGACGGGTAGTCGCGTGTGTTTAGTTTGGAGATAGAGACAGAAAAAGAGTGTGTGTTGTGTATGCGTGCGTGTGTGTGTGTGTGTTTCCTTCTGAGGGGGCACAGCGCAGTGACAGTGACCCTGTCCCGTCGCTAGGAGGCAGAGCGCGATTAGAAAATCCAGCTCCAAACTTGAACCAGAGGAGTTTTACCTCCAACCCCCCCCGTTCCCTGTCTATACGGGCTGATGTCTTGCGAGCTCTTTAGAATAAAGGAAAAGCGTACAAGACGTAAGGACGGGTGGGGGGAACAAACAGAGAGGGAAGGAGGGAGCGACCCCCCCAACCCCCCCAACAACATCTCCCCCTCCCCGGTTCGTCTTCATCACCCCAATCCTACGTCCTCTCTCCGGAACTCCCCCCTCCCCCCCACCCGTTTTGTCTGTGCATCACTTTTTACATACATGCAGCCTTTGCACCCATTCTGTACGCCACGCAAATTTTCTTCAGCACACAGACACACAGAGAGGTTTCCAAATGTAGCAAACGGGGCTCAAAATTCAGCCACTGGAGCAAAACAACAACAACAACAATAATAACAGTAATATTATTAATAATAATAATAATAATAATAATAATAATAATAATAATAATAATAATAATAATAATAATAATAAACTTGGACTATTTATTTTCATTCCTGTTTCCCTTCTTATAATTTTACAAAGTTCTATATTTTCTGTTTTTCAAAAGCACGTTGCATTTAAAATCTTTTATCCTCCAGAAAATGTTGGCTATACTTTGTGTCAACAGATATTTTCTGTCTTTTTAAAGGGACAATCTAACTGAAAAAGTATGTCTCTGTAAAGTGATGGCTGTAAATCCTGTTGTGGCATGTGAATTTAGTGAGCAGCAGACATATCCCCTCTGCTCCTTTTCTTGTTTGCTCAGCTCTAAAATTAGACACAGATGAGTGGCTTCTGCATGTTTCTGTTTACTGAGATTTAAATTTATTATAATTTTTTTTTACGAATTTACCTCCTTTTCAGTTTACACCTTGTTTCTCAATTTCACCTTCATATGTCAGGAGCTTTTTGCAGATAAAAAACATTTATTTTTAAATAAATAAGTGGATTTAATGCTACCACTCTTCAGGAGGTTTTGTCTGACTTGCGCAGACCTGAAGATTAATCAAAGACAGGGGATATTTTGGAAGCGGTGTTCAGGGAGGTGCTGGGCCTGGAGAGTCCGCGTCCCAGTTTGATGTCGTTCAGGACCGTGACGTCCAGATATTTCCTTGAGGAGGGGTGCAGACCACAATCCCACCAACCCAGTAGAAACACACTTTCCCGCAGACACTCGGCCACACGTGTGTGCACACATCTCTCCGTCCCATCTCCCTGCCCCCTTTCCTGTTATCAGACCAAAATCTGTAGCTAATCACCCAGATGGTGAAAATTAAAATCTATTTTTTGATTCTCAGTGGTCTTAAGTTCATTAAAATGTGAAATTGGCAGATGAGTAAAGAAGGTCAGCGCACATTAGGCTACTAGCTCAGAGTCAGACTCCTCACCTTGGACTGGAAGATTTTCTTTTAAAAGAGGGACGCTGAGTTTCAACCCTCCCAGTTTGCTGCTTCCTGAGCTCCACAAGGAGATCCATTAAAAAACAGTCATGTCCACTTTTTCTTCACCTTAGGAGGGAGAAATTGGAGTCTTATGGGGTCTGGACACCAAGTGAGGCAAAAGCAGAGGGACGAGTCGTCCCGTTGTCCCTCCTGTCCCTCCTTCTCCCTTCGCAGCACATGTGCTGGATGTGTTTGTGACAATCCTCCACGCTGATTAAAGGCTCAGCCCGTGTACAAACACGGACCGGCAAGTCAAACTCATCCACATATTTAGGTTTTTCAACGCATCATTTTCTAAGCTCCCCCTGTCATTGGCTATGAAATTGTTATCTTTAAAGCCGTGTGATTGGAGCTTTGCATCCATTCGGGATATTATTTCCCACCGTTTATTGCTGTGATCTGTGATCCAGATCCATCTTGCATTGTAATCACTTTTGCTGCATTTTGTGCATTTCTATTATTACAAGGCCCTCGCTCTCAGCCCCTTATTGTGTGAACCACATGTGAAGCGCCGTCTCCATGACTCTGATCCTGTGTGTGACCGTTGGGTCCCTCTCATCACATCCCACCAGGAGTCGCATCAATAGGTTGGAAATTTAAACACGAGTATCTAATTTCTCTCCCCTGTGCCTCCGCAGCAGCCGAGCCCCTCTCCACGGCCGTCGTCTCGTCGGAGGAGCTGTCGGAACGCTGCTCGGAGCACTCGGAGGACAGCGGCAGCCTCAACAGCCACCATCCGGTCCCCACCGTGGGCCGGTTGGCCCGGCTGGGTCCGGACTCTCACCCCTCGCCGGAGCAGGACCTCCTGACCTGTGGTCAGTGCCAGGCCACCTTCCCCCTGGCAGACATCTTGCTCTTCATCGAGCACAAGAGGAAGCGATGCCACGGGCCACCCTGCCTTGCCATAGGCAGGGGGCTGGACAAGCCCCCTTCGCCCTCCCCCGGTTTGGCCCTCACCCCTTCACCCGCTCTGAACTCTCTGCGTGGCCGGAGGCCGGTTGAAGTCGGGGTTCAGGCCACGCTAGCAGACGAAGACGACGAGAGGTTCTCGTCGCCTCGGGGGATTTGCCCAAAGCAGGAGCCCCTCCCAGGTAAACAGCGCAACATGCATCACCTCCAGCTCTACATGAACACAGGCACGGCCGGCTGCAGAAAAACAGGTGACTGAACGTTCAGAGCATGGGCTTGTGTGTGATCATGGCTGGATGTTCAGCTGTACTTCGCCTTTTCCCTTTACAGCCCTCAGAAACAACACTAGTAGGAGTTTGGAGGAACTCAGACTCAGATTTCTTAGCCTTTTGAAAGGACAGAGCGTTTTTTTTAAGTCATCTTGTTTTTACTGTAGTAAAACAAGCCGGCATGTTTTGTAGCTTTTGAATGAAAACATTTGTCCCAGTAAAACCAACTCAGATCTGCTTGAACTTCACGGGTTGGAGAGTGGACCAGTGAAGTGTGTGCTGCACCAACTGGTCAGGATGTAGTGTGTATCTGTTTGTGAGGCAGGACTTTATTAATCAGCTGTATTTGGTGCAGAGTGTGTGTGCTTACCCGGTGTGGCCTACTCCCACTGGCCAGTGGAAAGGAGACAAGAGTGCCCTTGAATTTGTTTTCCCATTGGTCAAGGCATGTGTGTGTGTGTGTCGATGCAGGATCATTTTCTGATCAGTGTGTGTGAGTTATAGTCTTGGGAGCAGCTGAAACGTCTCGCTGGGACTCTGTTTGTGTCTCCTGCTCTTGATGCGCCCGCCCTCCTTCCCAGTGCGCCATATTTTACCCGAATAAATTTGGCCCGCGTCCGTTTCCCTCTCGGAGTTTACCTTCACGCTGGAGAATCCTTCCACTTTCTGCTTTTGAATCAAACGAGAGCCTCGCTCACGGAAATGTTCTAACACCACTAATTATTTGTTACAGTGCTATTTCTCCCCCCACCTTCCGCTTCCTTGTGCATTTTAATTAGCGGCAGTTTTTAGCCGTGTACTAAATTAGCTGTTGCACAGAGAGGGAGAGATGAAAAACATCCCCCGTCACTCCGTTTGACATACACAGCTCAGGAATTTGAGAAAATGAGCCCCATATTCCACATTTGGAGCTGAACTCGGTTCCCATGATTGAAACGTTGCAGCTACGGGAACGGAAATTTTTTGGGAAAATCTGCGCCATCCTTGACCTTTTCTCTCCACAACGGCAGGAACACGAGCTCATCTTTAGGCTTATATGCTTCTCTGGTGTCTGCATGTATGTAAAACACACACACACACACACGCTTCCTTACACACTCTCACTCTCGCAGACACTCACCAGCTAAACTGGGTTATTAGAGCGATTTACATCATAATAAGGGCGTCTGGTTGCTTGAATAGTGCTGCGTGTGGGAACGTCTTGGTGGGAACAGCTGTACGCTCAGACAGGACAGGAAAACAGGACAGCAGCAGCATATATCTTCTCCAGACTTGACACCACACTGAGCGGTGGACAGGCCGAGCATTATTAAAAGTTTGCCGCTTCATGAAAAGGGGGAAAACGCATCTCTAACCGGTCTGTTTAAATTTACGTCTTTCCCCTTTAATTTGCCATTCTTTCTGCGGAGCTTCCCTCTCTCCGCAGCGGCCAATCTCTGCAACACATTCATCCTGATAGCTGATAATTAAAGCCAGCACCCTCTAGCCAACCCCCTCTGCCTCCCCTACCCGACCCCAGCTTTCATCCTAATTGACCCCAAACTGGCAGGAGATGCAAAAAAAAAAAATAAAAAAATAAATATATATATATATATATATATGCCTGAAGCTGTGATTGTGGCGATCCAAAGATATTCACAGTGACACTAAAAAGAAGAAAGATGGCTCGTGTGTGTTTCTTATTTGTGAATGTTCTGCTTTATAAACTTTATAGAGCCTCTGGACAAGAGGAACAAAAGGAATCAAGATGCAACTTTTGTTTTTACTCTATGGACTGAATATATTCCAACATAATAACGCTGACTGGACATAATTTAGAGTTTATGCACCCCCATCTTTACATCTGCATGCATCCTGCGTACTGTGCAAGCTGAGAGCATGTGCATTTTGAAATAATAATAATAAAAAAACATCTGGGAAAAGCACTGCACTTACTTTTGCTCTTTTTCTGCAACCAACAAACAGTTCTGGCCTAGATGTTTTTTTTTGTGTGTGTGTGATAAATGAAAAGGCAAATCACTGCTGCAAAAAAAAAAAAAAAAAAAAAGCTAGGTACCTGACCATTAAAGCCACACACACACATAAATGCTCAGCGCTCTCTTGCTTGCCCATTTATTCTATTAATCCCTAACTGAGATGAAAATTCTGATTATAATCCCTGAGGCGGTCCCTCGCTCAGAAACAGCATCGCTAATGTCTCGAAAGAAAGAGGGGTCTCTCTCTGTGTGTGTGTATGTGTGTGTGGGTGTGTGTGTGTGTGTGTGAACAGCTACGTCTTGTCCTATTTTTTTCCCCCCATCAACAGTGGATATTAATGTAAAATATTCTTTGGTTTGAAGATTGAAATTTAGTAGGAAATCTTAATGGATTACTTCAGCTGAAGATGCACCTCCTCCTGTTTGGTTTTTCCAAATTGATTTCCTCGTAATGAGGTGCAAGAATTTAGCTCACGTGGTTTGGATGTGGAGTCGAGATGAGGCCAGCGATCTGCGTTTCAGTGAAACATTGGCTGATAAGCTATCTGTATTAGCTCATTAGCACGGATTTTATCGCTACAAGAGCAGGATGATGAATCCCCCCAAAATTTCTCACATTTCTGAACCCAAAATATCCGGTCCTCCATTGCGTCCTGGCCCCGCTGAAGTGCCGTCCTGGCTTGGAGCCTCGTACCACGAGCGTTGTTAGTCTATGATCTACTGATTAGCAATTAGCTTATCATCAGTGGCTAATGCTGCCCATCTCAGTGCACATTAGTGCATTTTTAACACCCAATCACAGTCTGGCTCTGTTTCAGAACGCTCTCCCTCCATCTCGTATCCTTCCGCTGCTTTTTATTCCCCCTTTTTCTAGTCTCTCTCACTCTCTTTCTCTCTCTCTTTGAGTCTCACCCTGATGCATTAGCAGTCAATGCAAATCCAGGACAGCCAATTGATACTGAATCAATTACAGTATGTTTGGTAGGCATGTGTGTGTGAGTGTGTGTTTCATGCTGTGGAACATCCCAGCGAGTCCAACAAAGAGATTTCACACACTGGCTGCCATCACTAATCTATTGTCGCTCTCCCTTTTTGTCCGCCTTTCTTTATTTCTCCACATAAGATTTTATTTAGTGGACTCGAGTGCTGCGCTGCGTTTGAACAGCGTCGGCACGGTGAATGGCCTCTCCGAATGTAAACACGCTGCTGTGAGTGTGTGTGTGTGAGAGTGTGTGTGTGGAAATCATCAGCAGTGGGATAACACATGCATTATAGGTTACTGGGACAACTGGAAAAGCTAATAATCTTCTGCAAAGGCCAGTGGTCTGCATTGTGTTATATATCTGTATATTTATGTAAACGTCACTGGGAGAAAGTATTTCCCCCCTTTCAGATTTCTTCTGTTTTTTATCCTAGTTTAAAAAAAAAAATCAGATGAAGTAACCTGATGTGTTAAAACGATGCTTTCATTTATTGAAGTTACAAAAATCTATCCAAGCCAACATTTCCACTCCTGGTGGCAACAAAGGCCATCAAACTGTGGAAGGAGTTTGTCCCAGTCTTTGTTCCAGAATTGTTTTAATTCAGACACATTTGAGGATTTTGAAGCTTGACTGACGCGTCTAACATGTCTACATCTCAAACGTATTTATTTTCAGACCTTGATTAGGGCATTCCTGAACTCTCACATCGTTAATCTTGTTTTTTGTTTTGTTTGTTTTGAACAATTCAATCATGCTTTGGGACATTGTCCTGCTACATAATCCAAGTTGCTTCATTTTAAGGTCACAAACTTTGGGTCAGACATTACCTCGCTGTCTAGATCCTGCGTCACTAAGTTGCCCTGATCCTAAACTTTGACATGAACACCACCATGGCTGAGTGTGATTATAACATTTGTGTATTAAAATTGCATATATATATTTTGTTTTAAATAATCCTAGTCTCTTCAAAATGTGTTTGGTTATTTGAAACATTTAACAAACAAAAAGATAAAAACAGACAAGTAATTAATTTCTAATTTATATAGAGTACAAATTTGAATATTGATGCAATCGGCCGTCCGCTGTCACATCATACTTGCTCGGGAGGATGGATAGATGAAAAGTGAATGACTCAATTAAATCGGGAGAGCTTATGCAGATGTACCAGTTTTTACCAAATGGCATTTTAATCTGAATCTGTGTTACAGTTAAATCTGAACTGGGATGTTAGTAAATGAATCTGAATCTGTTTGAAAGAGCGGATTGAGTTGCTTTGATTTAACTCTATTTGATGTGATTTGAATCTGTTGTGTTGTAAATCAAGTTGAGATGATTTTTGTTGTAAATTGTCATTTTATAAATAAAGTAAGCTGGAATAAATTATTTAGTGCTCAGCAAAAAGAAGAAAAACAGTGAGTCTGGGCAGCATTGCGATGGTGCTAAAAAACAGAATTTTGCTGCTTATGGTATTAAGAGCAGCAATAAAACAAAGACGAGTCAGTTGACTTGAGCTTTATCTTGCTTGGTAATTCCACAGCACACACACCCACACTGTTATATAAGACAGCATTAAAGTGTTAACTACTATAAACCTCGTCCTGCATCCTCGTCTGGCAGGTTTTCTGCTTGAATATTTAGAAAGCCGAGGTATCCTGGCTTTCAGCAACTGCCGAGAAGATTTCGTTAAGCTCCTGGTTTTGAACCCTGTCCGCTTAGCGAGCACCTCCGTCCTCCTCTGACTGCAGCTCTCCTTTCTCTCCCAGACTTGTGAAGCTTGAGGCCCGGGCTGAGGTAACCCTGATGACATCCCGACAACATCACCAGTGTTACTTGTGACTCCTCCGGAGGCGCAGAGGGGGATCATGCAAGCGGTTTCTTAGGCTTTGCAGTTTGAAAAAAAAAAAAAAATAGTGGTCAAAACAAGGGATTGAGATTAAAACTAAGGCTGAATGTG